AAAAAAACCATGATATAATGTAATCAAATGTCCTTTGAGGCATGAGTACTGATAAAGGGAGAACTTATAGAGATAGACACAAAAAAATAAAATAAATTTACATGATTAGTCAGTGCAGAGGAGATAAATTGTACACCAAGGATAAAGAGAATGAACAGTCTTACTTGCTTCTTCTGCAATCTTCCAGAAATAGAGACTTTAGACCAAAAACTATGATGATAAGAACCCTTTAGAGTTTTTGAATTTGTGACACTTCTCTATGTTTGTTAGTTTGATATATTGTTAAAATATTAATATCTCTTAACAATAAAAGTCTGTGTGCCCTTCTTTACAGATAATGTAAGAAAATTAGGAGATAAAGAGTTGCAACCATACTCATTAGTAATTTTTTTTAATCCAGAGATAGAATGAAGAGTTCCTGAGCTATAAAGTCAATTATGGCAACTTTAAAAGGAAAAGAAAGTTTTTCATTCACGAACCACTCTTTGCCATCAATGACGTGCTGAGTAAATTATTGTGGGAGGCTTAGAATTTAGAGAAATAGGAATGATCTCAGGACATAAATGGCAAGAATCCATTGTATTTTCCTGACACTTATGTATCAAAATGAGTACAAAATGGCATAGAAAGAATCTTTTTGCCATTTTCTTTCACATCCCCAAAGATTCTTAAAGTGTCTTTCCCTCCCTTCCACTTCAGGTAACTTTATACAGCTATTTTCTCTGGTGAGAAAAGAAATAAGGACACTGAATCCAGATCTTTGGATGTCACCAGTATTACAATCTCCTGCTTCCAGCCAGACAGCATAGTATCTACTCAGCAATAACTAATTTTATTAATTTGGCTAATTTGCCTAAAGACCCTAAAATCACTCCTTCCCCCAAAAAATCTTTGTGAACACAAAATTGAGGGGATTCACACTGAAAAAGACAAAAAAAGTTTTTTTATTGCAAAGAGAATGCTTACCAACAATAATAGGTATAAGTTCTTACTACCTCTAGATTGTATACATATTTTCTACAGCAAAGTACTATTTTCTGGGAAAAGAAAATGTCCAAGAGGCAAAAGTATAAATTACTTATTAAAAAGCTAACAGTAAAATGTAAAATCTGAGTATATTCAAAAAGTACTTACTATATGCAGTTCTAGGTAGTCCCCCAAGCCTGAAGAACTGTCCACACGCACCAATACAGCTTCTTTCTGAACAGTGCTAAACCCTATGGCCAGTCTGTCTGCTCGTGTACTGGGCCGGTCATTAGGAGGCCACTTATATGTGATTTGTCCACCACCTTTGCTAAAGATATACGTTGTCCCAGCTGGAAAACAAAAAGCAAAACCAATTAGTCCAAATACATTGAGTCTACACTTTAGCAATGTTTATTATGTTGACATATCAGTAAAGTATTGACTTTACACACAAAACTATGGCAAAGCACATAACATATTTCAATCAACCATGCTCAGCAAAGTGGGCAGAGTTGTTTTAAAAGAAATAGAGAGGCAGCTCAGTTTTTAATATGTTCATTAAATTTACCAACAGGTGTTTCAGAAAAAAAAACATAGATTACTGCTTTTTCCATTGAGTTGGACAAGCATGAAATGTAACGAGGCCTTATTTCTTCCTGCCAGTTTTTAAGAAATTGTTTAGTAGAAAACACTAACTGGACACTTCCAAAAGGCAGCAGAAACATATATCAACTTGTTTTTGAAACAGGAGCTGCAGGCAGATAGATGTGACAGGGTCATACCGCACAGTAGAGCAAATCACCACAAATACGCTCTGAATCCAACTTTTATGGGGAAATGGTCTATTCACATGTGACAGATGAGAACCAGTGGATGAGCAGCCATAAGCCCCAGTAGTCACATCAAGAAAATACAGATAATAGATCCCATCCGTAGAAGTCAGTCCTTATTTAACAAGCAACATCTAGCAGCTGTCAAACTATTCAGACTCAAACTACTCAGAATCACTCCCCCCACCAAAGTGAATACTAGCCCTAAAGCACTGAGAATAATACCATGGTCTCATTCTGTGAGTACTCAAATTTTACTTTATAGTTGTGATATCATTAAATTATCCAACTTAATTTAAAAAGAGTTTTGTTCCAAAGAAATTCACTCAGCATCTAATGTACTACAGTCCTACCTCATTGCACCCCTGGCATCTCTCATTAATGCAACAAAATGAATTCCTCAAATAAGTATATTTGGAAGAGACATGAAAAGATTTATATAAGGGACAAGAGAGATTCCTCCATGCTAAGGCGACCATGGAAATGTTTCTTTAATTAGCCTAAGAACAGCCATTAGGAAGAATTTATAGAGGGGAGAGTGACCTTTCAATAATAGAAGATGCCAACACATATTTATTGTTCACCTACTGTGATAGATAATTTTACGTGTCAACTTGGCTCAGCTATAAGGATGCCCAGATATCTGAAAGGACATTATTTCTGGGGATGTCTGTGAGGGTGTTTCTGGAAGAGGTTAGCATTTGAATTGGTGGACTGAGTAAAGCAGATTGGTCTACCCAATGTGAGTGGTATCATCCAATCAGTTGAGAGTCTGAATAGAACAAAAGGTAAAGAAAGGTTGGATTTTTTCCTCTTCCTCTGCCTGACTACTTAAACTTGGACATTGTTCTTCTGCCTTTGTGGCTTCTTGTTCTCATGCCTTCAGACCTAAACTTGAATCTACAGCATTGCTTTTTTTGGTTCTTAGGCCTTCAAACTATACCGCCAGCTTTCCTGG